CATTTGTCCAGGGTCTGGTCTCGGGCACGCGAGCGACATGTCAAGATGTGGACCGCAGACTGCGAGGCGAAGTGGGGCGCGGCCATCAAGGGCAACGCTGCAGTTCGGGAAGTGTTATACCTCATATCGATCGACGAGGGGCTCGCGGCCAAGCTTCAGATGCTTCGTGGCAACGGGCTTCTCGATATGAACAGAATGTACGACTCCATCAGTTGGCGGCAGCATGGCAGGGTAGCCATGCGGTTGGATTTGTTGCTGAAATTTTGGGCCTGGAGCTGCTGCAGTGCATGGCGGCTCGTTGTCTGCGGCAGGGAGGTGCGTGCTCGGAGCCATTCGCACCGCTCCGCTCGGTGGTGCAGGGGCTCCGAGGAGGCACTCGATTTGCCAAATGTGTCACGTGTCACATTATGCAGAGGCTCACCACAGCACATGTTCGGATGTCCCTACGCCTGTGGCTAGATGATCTCAGCCAATCGGTCACAAGCTCCAGGCAGAGCATGCGCAGGCAACCGGTCAGCTGTTTAGTGGACACATGTCGCAGCATGCACGAAGCAGGTCTCGACATTTCGCCCAAGAGTGTAGTGGTGTGCACCAAGTTACAGGGCGCTTGCGAGATCGTGGGGCGCTTGAAGGCATTCGGCTTCTCTCTCAAAGTGGCACCACAGTCAGTATACCTTGGGTGCGATCTTGGACGAGGCTCACGGCACGCACGTGCCAATTCAGTCTCAAGACAGAAGAAACGCGGTCATGCGAGCAAGAAGGTTGTCAACTATGCCGGAGGCGCTCGCAGCTATCGCGTCACCGCGCGACGTGAGGCCCAAGGAGCACAGGCAGCGGGCGCCTACGGTCACCAACTTCGCGGACTGCATGGAGGCGAAATGGTCCAGATTCGGCGACGACTCGGCAACGCCCCAGGCCCCAGGGCCCCTGGCAGGTGCCTCACCACGCTGATCGAACTTTTGGCACCTGGTCGGGGCCCCGCCGATCGGCTGCCGCAAGATTGCATGAGGCTCTGGCTCTCATGCTCGGCTCAGCAGCCCACCGTTCGGAAGGGCGTCGCCAGGGCCCAGAAGCCCTTCGCCCAGGAGCTGCAAGCCATTCCCATAGCTCGACGCTCGCGACACATCAGAGGACCCCAGGGTGCGGCCATCATCAAACTCCTACAGGCTCGATGGCAACCGCTGGGGCCAGCATCGTGGAAGGCTCCACCGCTGGTCGCCGCTGGGAGCGACGGCCTGGAACATCATTGGACCTTCGACGCTAGCAATCTCACTGGTGTCGAACCAACTGATTTCCCCGACGAACTATCTCACAGCTTCGGCGAGGCGCTCATGGTGGATCATTGGCGGAGGGCAGCTGGACCCTTCGGAGGCGCTGGACTGGAAGCAGGGGCGTGCAATCGGTCCGATCGACATCTCCTGGCTCAGCTCCAGGAGGTGCCGGGCGGGCGGAAGCTGGCAGGCCTCATGCTGGCGATAGCCATCGGTGGCACTTGGCCTAGAGTTTGGCGACAGGAACGTGCCAATCAGAAGCTGAACATCACCTGCCCACGATACGGTCAAACCGATGAGACAGCATGTCATCGGATTTGGGAATGCGAGAGCTGGAGCGAAAGTCACATTTACGAACTTTCTCAATAACTGGTGGGACAGGCCTATGCTAGCGGGGAAACAGAGGCCTGCTTCTGGACGCGAGGTCCATCCCCAGTACCTGGACGCAGATCCCAGCCCCGCAGCAGTTCGAGGATTTGCGCGTGTCCGCGGGCAACCACCTCGAAGGCTGCGCAGGCCATGGGACATCAGGTCGGCCTTTGCGCATTTTCGGCGACGTCAGTGGAGGAGCTGACAGCGCCGACCCACACTTGCGCAGGGTCGGAGTCGGCCTCGCGTGTTTTCAGGACCTGACGGACGACGTGCAGCTCGAGTTGGGCATCTGGGGAGGGCTACCTGGCGGCCGCCAAACGGTGGCCAGAGGCGAGTTGCTAGCACTACTACTGGCGCTGCGGTCATGTACAGGCCATTGCTTCTATGTCATTAACAACGAATCGGTAATCCTGGGCTGGTACAGCCACCGGCACCAGCACCCAGCTGGACCTGACAGCGATCTCTGGTGGGACATCGGGTTGTGGTTGGCAGCTCACCCAATCAGGTCTGCACGGTGGTCTTCGTACATTCACACCAGGAGGCCGGCCTCATGATTTCAGGCCGGGCTCCAAGGTTTTTGGTTTTGGGGGACACCATGGCCGATGCATTTGCGGCCGTGGGCGCCGACATCGCCTGTGTGTCCGAGTATCACAGATTTCATTTAAGAATAATCGAGCACATGGCTTTTCTTGTCCGCGTGAGGGTTTTCCAGAGCACCCGCGAGGCCCTTCAGTGTGAGGCCGCCGAGCTCGATAAAGGAATCTCCAAAAGCAAGCGTGCGAAGAGCTCGTGAGGCCTCCTGCTCCGTCCATCTGCAGTATATTTGCCTCATCCCACGTGTTGCGCGGACAGAACAGTAGAGCATGCGAGCGGTGTAAGGGGCCGACCACACATGCCAAACGTAAGGGGTGGTTCGAATTTCCGTGTTTCGATTTCGTCCGTCTAGATTGGGACCCTGTTTGAACCCCCGTCCAGGACGGCGGGTGCATATTGCAGGGGGTCGTCCGCACCCAAGCCGTAAAATTCGGTATCACTCGGGGGTCGGGGTGTGGTTTTGCACCTTGTGTGGGCGCTTTGCTTCCCAGCAGCTCAAAGAGTTTGCGCGAGAGTGTGCCGAGAGGGTTGACGGTAATCGCGGGGATTACCTAACCAGGATCTCCAAGGGTTTCTGGCCCAAAGCCTCCAGCAAGGTTGAGAGGGCCAACAAGGAGAAATCCATGGTTTAATTGTTTCAACCCACCTGGTCGCCATATCCAGAACTCCCCCTCCTCTTCCTCCTCTTCCTCCTCCTCCTCTTCCTCCTCCTCCTCCCCCTCCTCCTCCTCGTCCCCCTGCTCCTCCTTCTCCTCCTCCGCCTCTTCCTCCTCTTCCTTCTCGTCGTCCCCCTTCCTGTTCCACCCTCTTCCTCCTCCCCTTCCTCCTCTTCCTCCTCCTCCTACCCAGCATGGTTTTGGTCAAGCAGTGACGAAGCGCCCTGGCTTGCTTATAGGCCCACCAAGGAATTGTCTAAGAACCTCACGTGGTCTGCACGAGACGTTCTTAGAACATTTCTGGCTGAGACTGTCTTGTTTTCTACTTCGGGCATCTGTTCAAAGACCCTTGTTTTTTGTTATGAGATCATCCATGGATTCTACGAGCATCACGTGGCCTACAGGAGTGCCTGGACGGCCGGTCCCTGCACACATTGGAGGGCTCGTGGGGCATGCTCGGGTGTCTGAGGGGCCCCCTTGGGCCGTCTTGGGGCCGTTTTCTGCGCTCTGGAAGGTGGCGTTTCGGCGTGATGCGGGGGGCGGTGTTCGCGTAACGCACCCCCACTCGGATCTCCTGGGTGGTGGCACGATGTGTTTTGATGTGGTACATGAGCGTAAGTCTATAGATTCATGGTTATATACAGAGTATATGTATATATACACATACACCACGCAGATTACACGGTGGAAAAGTATGTAAACGAAAGTGTGTAATGTGTATGCGTACGCCCGGGATCCATGGCCGGGTGCCTTACGGGCAGACCCTGGATCTCCATGCCCGCGGAAGGGCGCCTGGGGCCCTTCAAGGCGCGCCAGGATGGGCCCGCAAGCTACCGCGATGGCCCAAGAGGAATCCGAGTCGTGGAAGGACCGCTCCAAGACGCCCAAGATGGCCCCAAGACGTGCCAAGAGACCGCCCAAGACGCTCCGAGAGGCCTCCAAGAGCACTAATTACCAAGAGGCGCCCAACACGCCCAAATTGTTTTATCACTTGAGGAAGCCGTGCACTATCAGCATATACTGCGTTTCTGCCTTTGCGGCGGTGAAGACGGCAAGACCGCCCCAAGACAGCTCAAGAAACCACCAAGAGCGCCCCAAGACAGCCCAGGAGTGCTCCAAGACGGCGCAAGAGTCGCCCAAGAGAGCCCAAGAGAACCCAAATATTGCCCCCTAAAGTGTCGCAAGAGCGGGAGCCCGAACCAACAAGTCGAGTTTTCCGCCCGAGGATGCTCCGAGAAGCCCCCGCAAGGCCCTCAGAAGCCCAGAAGAGCTCCCCAAGATGCCCAAAGAGGCTTCAAAAGAGGGCCAAAGAGGCTTCAACATTGATTCCAAAGCGCCTCCGAGAACCCTTACACGACAACCTATCGAACACCCAAGAGACTTATGATCCACAACCCAGGCACGCTGGCGACTGGCGACTGGGTCGAGGAGGAGAAGACGAGAGAGTGGAGGATTCGGCGACAGGAGGAGTATGATGAGAAGGGGCGTCAGGAGGAGGGGAACCTCCAGAGGACGTGTCGAATGGGAGCTGCAGGCTCCCTCGGGTCGGCGTGTCAATTCCTCCGTTCGTCTTTCCATTTTGACTCCTGCGTATCCTGCCTCCTTCCCCTCATGTCCTCCCTCCATCGGCCTACCTATCATGCCTCCTGGTCCTCCATCCACTCGTCTTCTCCGTCCTGCCTCGGGCTGCCTCATTCCTCCCCTTTCCTTCCACTCGTTCCTCCCGTTCTCCATCTGCACCTTCTCGCCTGCCTGGGCGAGGGCTGCGGACGCAACAGCAGGCAGGGGAAGGCAAGAAGAAGCAGGACAGGAGACCACTGCAACAAACATACGAATATGGTCAGCAGAGCATTCGGAGAGTGAGGAGGCAAACTTAATCCAGCATGGATTTCCCGACGCCTGGACCTAACTAGTTGGTCTTGCATGTATGTATATAAGTAGACATGGTTTGCGGGTTCGCTTCGTTGCGTGATAACTTGCTCCCATGTACTCCCTATCCCTCGGTGAAGCGGTGATTGGTGAAAGCGCAAATGATGATCACAAGGGGTGTCACAGCCATTTTTATGGAACGGGCCACAGGCATGTTTTTATTTGGCGAGACAAGGCACCGGTGTGTCGGGGCCAAAGTCACGCATTCGAACGTGCAGGAAGTAGCGACCAGTAGGCACATGCGGTCATGAGGGCTAATGGAGTACACACAGAAGCGAATGTCCGTAGCCATTTTGGCTCAAGCACCTGCTCCTTGTGTCAGACAGAGGGATATACAGCCCGTGGGCTCTCTGCATTTTCGCCATGGGCGGGCCGTGCAAGATTCTAGGAGACGACGGTGGCATTTCAGACGCACCCGCGTGCACAGACAATTTCTTTGTTCGGCCGTACAGGCTGAACGGTGCGCAGTGGCAGAGCGCGGAACAGTTTTTCCAGGCCTTCAAGTATCAAGATCAGGAGATGGTGCAGAAATTCCAGGAGAGCGTCCCAGAAGAAGGTACAAGCTCTTGGGCATACGGCTGCTTCATGGCCCGAATGGGTCAGGAGCGCCACCCGTCGTTCCGCAATAATTGGGAGCAGATTAAAGCTGAAGTCATGTACCGGGCTAAGCGGGCTCAAATTGCGCAGCATCCAGATTTGAAAGAAGAGCTCATTTCGACTGGGGGCCATGTTCTCATTCACGAGGATGGCATTGCTTTCTGGTCGGAGTGGAATGGCAAATGTATGGCGCGTATTCGCGACGAGGTCATGCCCGATGGAAGGCACCCACAGGGTGACCAGAAGCGAGATAGTGATCTGGAGGCGTTGGTCGCTGAGTACGCAAAGGTCATCGAGAATGAGGCTTTCTTTGCCGATTGCCCAGAGCTTATGCCTTATTCTCTTCAATATGGCGGCACCGATAGGCAAAGTGCGCCGGTCCCATCACAGGCAGTCGCTCCGGTCGTCAAACAGGAAGGGGGTGCAGTGGCTGCAGCAGAAGCTAGGTGTGACTGGTGATCGATATTATGGCCTGGTGGTATGTGAATCTATTTGGCAAGCCTGGATGTTGCGAAGGCAGCGTCGTTGTTCGCTTGCCGTTCTTTCGATGCGTTTGATCTACGCTTGGCAATTAGCATTCACCCATTTGGCGACGCCTTGGAAGTCACAGAGCAGGCAATAAGCTTCCAACCTCGAACGTGGTCAAAAAAAAACACAGAAACGAATGCTCAGCAGTTAGGACGGCAAGGACAAAGAAGGGGACACAGAGGGCGAGAACGACGAGGGGGACGGGCACGACGAGACAGACGGTCTCGCAGCCGCCGGAAGGGGGGAAAGCCCTGACAGGGTGCGCGTCGGGCAGCGAGAGAGCTGGTGTGATGACCGCCAGGTGGGTGAAGGTCACGAGGTCGAAGTAACCCCTACTCCGGATTTCATAATAAAGTCGGGGGGGTCACATTTGGGGGGGGATCTGATTTGAGCTGTCTTGGAGGGTTCGGGGGGGTCTGGGTAAAGGGCCGCCCTTTCATGGATGGTCTGAGAGGGTCTAAAGGTTCTCGTCTGGGAGGGTTGAGACCCCCTCCCTTTTAATACCAAATCTGGAGTGACCATGGCCGCGAGGGCATAGGGAGCGGGGCGTGTGCGAGGGTCGTCGCGGCGAGGGGGCGACGCTGATGACCGCGAGGGGGGGGAGGGGAAGTTCCACCCTGGGAGGAGGGGCGGCGATCCCTGCCGTGAGGAGAGGGGCACGCAGTGAACACTTCTTTGTCCTTGGCATCGCTCGGACGTGTGCATTTTTCCTTCGGCGAGGGCCATCGAGGAGCATCCTTGATCATCTGGGGAAAAAAAAACACGCACGAAACCGAACAATACACGAGGAATGGACGTCCGAGCGATGGCGAGTTGTCGCGGTTCAAAGCTTCAGAGCGTCCTGCGTGCCTTCGGGCCTCTTGCGCCGTCCAAGAAGGGTTGGGAGCCTCTGGGGCGCGCGCCGAGTCCGGATGCGTCGACAGGTTTGGGACACTTTGGGATTTGTGCATATCGCGGCCATTTTGCTCGTTTCGTGGCTGGTGGGGGACGATGGCGATGAGCAGCGTCCGCTCGTTTTGGATGGCCGGGGTGTTGCTTGAGCGCGTTCAGGGAGGGCGAGCGGGCCCTCGTTGCTTTGACGTTCGCGGCGCCCGCTGGCCTACAGCTTGCCTGCGACGACGGGCCGATCGTGGAAGACGACGGCGAAGCAGGAGCTGGAGCAGACGGTGCAGAGCGCGAAGCGAACGAGAACGAGTGGCAACCGATTGACGCATGCCGCACGCAGGCTCCGGAGGTGGCCCTGGTGCTGTTTGTCTGGACGCTCTGACGGAGGGTCTCGGATTCGAGGGGGCTTTGGGGGGCATCGGCGTTCGCGGCGCCGACGGGCCTGCAGCTGGCCGGACTGAGCAGGCGTGTTTTGTCTCGGGGGATCACGCGGCGGCCGCCCACCGAAGCGAGGGCACGGACGTGACCGCGAGCGGAGGTCGTGGTCATTCTGATGGGGCCGTCGCGCCTCCGTGGTGGCGCACCTCCGGAGCCTGGATCGTGAGTTCGGGGCGTTTGGGCCTCGCTTACCAGCCTCGAACGTGTCCCTATCCCTAATATTGACACGCCAAAAAGGCGATGACAATCTCAGGGATTCACCCTCAAAAAAAAGGGAATCCCTAAGATTGGCATCGTGATGAGGAGGTGCCCAGCATAGGGATAGGGATATGTTCCAGGCTGGTAAACTTCTGAGGGCCTTTTGGGGACATTCTGGTCGTCTCTGGGGGCATCGTGGGCTTGTGGGGGGGTTCTTGGGGGGCCCTTCTGGGCTGGTTGGGGGCCCCGGGCCGTCTTGGGGCCCTCTTGGGACCCTTTCTTGGGAACCTCTGGGGCCTGTCTTGGGCCGTTCTGGGGCTCTCTTGGGCCATTTTGGAATCCTCTTGGGCCGTCTTGGGAGAGTCTTGGGTCGTCTTGGGGCGACTGGGGGGGGCCTTTTGGGTCGTCGTGGGCGCTGTTAGGGACGAAGGAACTCTTTGCGTCATACGCGCCACGTGTGCCGTGTTTGCCGTGTGCCCCAGCCGCGCCAGGTGCGCCACGTCCAGGGCACGCGCAGAGTGTGCCAGGTGCGCCTGCGCCTGGCGGGCTTGCGCACAGCAGGAGCAGGCACTATGCCGGCAGCCCCGCCGCCCCTGTCAACAACAACGATACAATGCGATCGCGGTGTGCCCGTGCACGATGCTGACTTCACCGCGAGGTGAGGTTCGTATTGTTCTTGGGAGGAGGAGGAGGAGGAGGAGGAGGAGGTGGAGGAGGAGGAGGGGGAGGAGGAGGAGGAGGAGGAGGAGAAGGAGGAGGAGGGGGAGGAGGAGGAGCAGGAGGAGGAGGAGGCGGAGGAGGAGGAGGAGGAGGAGGCGTGTGTGCCAACTGGCAGCGAACAGAGTGCCCAGGGGCCCCCCGGGCATGACCCGACCCTTTGCCCCAGCGTTCGTTTCGCAGTGGGTCTCTGGACAGGGATGGGGGTGGGCATTGGTCCTGGTTGGCTGCCGGTCGCCTAGGGTGTGCGTGTGTGCGTGTGTGCGTGTGTGTGTTTGTGTGCGTGTGTGTGTGTGTGTTGTGTGTGTGAGTGTGTGTGTGTGTGCGTGCGTGCGTGTTGTGTCTGCGTGTATGTTGTGTGTGTGTGTGTGCGTGTATGTTGTGTGTGTGCGTGTGATGTGTGTGTGTGTTTGTTTCAAATTGCGAACAGCAACGAACCCGTCCCCGGGGTGGCAGAAGGGGGTGAAAGGAGGAAGCGCTCCAAACCATTCTCGGCCTAAGAGGTTGGCGGGATTGATCTCCTGTTTTCCTTCGATGTAAGTTTGATGATCACAAGTCTTCGGAACTCCAAGTGCCCGAGGCTACCGAAGGGACCCCCAGATCTCCCTGAGACGCACCAGAAGGGCCTGACGACGACACATTGGCTGGCCTTGCGCGCCAGTCAGAGGCTCCAGCGCAAATCCAATACATCCGCTCCGGCTTTCGATTGTGTTGTACATAGTTAGTTATCCCGTGTTTCGGACAAGGCCCACCTCGGTTTCGGACAGGGTCTTAACTTCTTTTGGGTTTGTTTTAAGTTTTTTGTACGGCGCTCCTTGTGGGTCTGGGCACTGCTGGGGCTAAAAGGGGCCAAGGTTCCTTACATTACATTCCTTATGACCACACTTTGCACGCACCTGATTCAGGACGCGCCGCCCACACTTCGAGTCTCAGTGGCGGTCTTCGTTTGCTGCCACGCCGTTGCCCGGAGTGCCCGTCTTTGCCCTAGCCTTTGGCACATTCCCGATTCGGAATGGTGCTTTCGCCCCAGCGCGAGCCACTCTCGCGATTCGAGATGGCATTTGCGCAGCAGTCATGGCCTCATTTTGGACTCGGGATGGTGGTCCGTCCCCCTGCAGCTTTGGCCGCACATCCCATGGGGAACCGCGCTCTCGCCTCGGTGGCATCTGCACCCCTGACTCGGAGCGTTGCTCGAGGAGGAGCGCTGACCAGAATGATCCCTCTCTCGGAGGGAGCTGCTCACCTGGGCGCAGGCAGGCCACACTCCTGTCTCGTAGTGGTGTGGACGACGATCAAACGGAGAGTAATCATGTTGCCAAATCATTTCCAGATGTGTAAAAGATGTGTCAAATCATATCTCAAACATGCAAGCTGAACATGTTCCAGGCGTGTTTGAACATGTTTCAAATATTTGTATCCATTTTTTATTCAACGATTGGATTGTTGGGGTGCCCATTGTCATGGCATCCACAGTCGTGGTGGTGCCGCCGCCTTGGCGTGCTGGCCGCAGACAGGCCACTCTCCGAATGGTGCCGCCCTCCTCGGCGGCCGCGATCCTGACTCGCAGTGGCGCTGCCTCCCGCGCTGGACGCTCCTGGTTCGGCATTCCGCTGCCACTTTGGCTCAAGGCCTGCGGCTCGAGCTCTAGCAGCCAAGCCCTTCCAGAGCAGAATGTGAGAGGGGACCCCGCATGGTCGGCGCCGAGGACCAGGATGGCATCAAGCCTCGCAGCTTCGCGGTAAAACTGAACGCAATGCTCTGTCTGGTCATCGTGGATTGTGTATTGAACGCGTTTCCAGACGTTGTATGGGGCGCGGAGAATGAAATACTCATCATAGTTTCGTGTATCGCTAGTATGGCGATCCACCTTGCGATGATGTTGGTGTTATTCATGCTCCTGTGGCACACGTTTTTGCTCCGGAACGGCCTTCTATTCAGTGTCCTTCGGCCCATCCCGCTACCATGCCAGGATTGTGGACAAAAGGTCCATTGGAGGCACAGCGAGATCTCCGGGAAGGCCCATCAGAAGCTCATTGGGGGCCTCTTGCGGGCCTCATTGAGGTCTCGTAGGGCCTTTTGATCGCCTCGTCGGGGCCTCTGGAGGCGTCTTTGGGGGCTGCTGAGGGTCTCAGGGGCCATCCTGGGAAGGGCTCTAAGTGTCAGATCGGATTCCCCTTCTTGGGCCAGTCTTTGGGCCGTCTTGATCGTCTATTTGGTTGAGTGCCTTGGGGGTGGTCGTGGCGTGATCTTCAGGGCCACCAAGAACGCTCGGTTCGTGCCAATAATGTTAACATCATAAGACAACCTAAGAGGCTCCAGAGATTTTCTCTCATGGGTTGGCCGCCATTGCCTCCAAGACGGCTCAAGAGGTGCCAACAAGTGTTTCCAAGCGAGCACTTGGGGCCATCCCATCCGATGAAATGTTCGAGATGCGGACTCCCAGCCACGCTTCCGAGGCCTCGGAAGAGTCACGCAACAAAATTCGAAAACGACCAAGACCGCCCGATAATTCCCAGATCCCGGGTTCTGGGCCCCAGTTGGCCCTGGAAACCACAGGGCCTTTTCTTTGCCGTTTCCGCTTTGCAGTTTTTGCTGACGGTTTGGCGCCGTTTCTGTTCCGGGTCCCGTCGCCGTTTTTGTGTGGGTTCATAATCGATCTTGGAGTTTTTATGTGTTTAGTTTCCAATCACCGTTTCGTCACCGCTGTCGTTTTCAATCGATATTTCTTTTCGAAAGGGGTGAATAAACGGCTCTGCCGTTCCCGCGGCCATCGAAAGTTTGGGCATTTGAGCGAGGGGCACAACATTCAACACAGAGATCTCGAAGTGGCATGGGGACACTCCAATTCGCGCCTTGCGGCACGATGGCGGATTCGAGGTCTGGAGCGAGGTATACGGCACTTTCATAATATCTTTTCTGCGATTTGGACTGCTGTGTGGTGCTCGCCTTCCGCGCATGATTGCCGCTCTAGACTACCTACCCATAGGAGACTACTGGGACCTGCCGTTGCACTACTGGCTCTACATGGCGCACAACTACGCCACGGTGCCATTCCACGCATGGATGCTGTACAGGAGCCACATGCTGTCCCGCGTCCGCTTCTACAAGCCTCAGCTCTGGCACAAGCGCCTCGTGGGGCGCAGGCGGACGAACCCGGCACAGAGCGCCTGAGGCCGTGCGCACGCGGCCGGCGTTGGTGGCCCCCCCCAGGCAGGCTCTGAAGAGCCTGGCTTTGCCGACGGCGCAACCCTCCCCCATGGAACGTGTCTTTGTCTTCGCCCACCGCCCGTGTGGTCTCTCCAGCCGCTGCATGTGTGAATTCGCGCGCGTCCCGCGGCGTTGCGTGGAGGTCTCTGCGCATGGAGACAGCTCGTCGACCGCCTTGCTGAGCCCGAGCGAGCTGACAGAAACAGTCTGGCGCTTCGCGTATTCCGACCAGCCCTTCCAGAGGCGGCTCCCACGCGTACCATCGGCAGCCGGGAGGCTGCGGAGCATCAGCAAAGCAGAGAGGGGGGGGGGGGGCAATTGCCCATCAGAGTACGGGGTCAGCCCCAGCAGCCACCGGAATCGCAGGATATTGGCATAGTGGGCACATTTGAGCCAGCTCGGGTTTCTCTTCGAGCCCATCCAGGGCGGCGTTGGGCCCTTCTGGGGCTCTCTCGGGACCCTTCTTCCCAGAGGCGATCCGTCGCGGAGGGAGAATCCATTCCACGATTCGGACAAGTCTCGTGAGGCCCATGGTGTGCTCGCTTGTGGGCGCATTTTGGTACTTGTAAGGGCCTTTGTGAGGCCCTCTCCGGTGCCTGGAGCATCTTGGGGTCATTTATGAGAGCCTCGGTTGCGCATCCACTGGAGATCGGAGGAACAGAACGATAGCCTAACGGTTCAACCACGTTGTGGGTAATTATGCAGTGGTGTGGGTTTCTCGGGTGTCGGGGGTTATCTCAGAGGCATTTTCTTGGTAACTCTGGGAGCGAGGTCATCTGGGCTGGAGGCCATCTTGTTGGGCTCTTCTGGGGTTCTTATAGAGCCATAGAAGGACCATCTTTGACGCCAAACACTCTGGTGGCTGCCCGCCCCTGAGGAGGCGATAGAGTGAGAGTCGAGCAATCCCAAGCCGTAAGCCGTGCCGCTCACTACCACCCGCCCTCGCGTTACATAAGTACGTAGCTTCCGAGTCTCGTTCAGCACAGGCAGGGGCCGCCATCGACAACGAGAATCAATGCAGACGCCAGCCAGGTGCGCGATGCCCACGAAGTGCGCCGAACGCGACAGGAGTTCCACGCGCACCAGGTGCGCCACGTTAGGGAGTGGGTCGACCGCCCCACCATCCCCGTCAAAAGCAAATGCACTGTGACGGTGGGTTCACGAGCATTGCGTACAGTGGGGGCCAATGCCAAGACACATTTTGCTTGGCTCCAGGGTGCCCTGGATTTCGCTCTGGACAGCCTGACGTTCCCACACCAACATCAGGGTCTCAGGGTTGGGTCTCAGGGTTGGGCATCTTGTGGAAGGTTTCTTGTTGTCGTCTCCCGCCGCTGTATTGCGTGTGGGCGTGCCCCCGCAATTCTTTTTGCACCTGCTCGAACAGGGGCAGCAGGCCTGCGCACAGGCGGCAGCATGCCGCCCGCCCCGCCCCCCTCCTCCTCCCTCCTCCTCCCCCTCCTCCTCCTCGTCCTCCTCCTCCTCCTCCTCCTCCTCCTCCTCCTCCTCCTCCTCCCCCACCGCCCCTGGCAGCGAGCGAGCTCTGGGATGCTTGCTGGCCAGGGTGGCCTGCCCGCGTGCAGCAAGCAGCCTGCCGCCCGTTCCCCGCCGTCCCTGTCAGGATCCCCGTGCGCGGTGACCGCGGGGCGTCAGAAACCCGTGTCGCAAAAAACAAAAAAAAACGCCGTCCCGCGTCAGAAACCCACGTCGAAACGCCGCGCATGATTCGGATTGTGGTGCAAAGAGCGCTTTGTGTTGCGGCATTTCAATGGGGTGGTCGTTGGCGGCTGTAATGGTTCCGGGTGTGTTGTACGTTACTGGGGAACCGTCATGGCACCCTTCCATGAAGGGAAAGAAGGGGGTGGGTTGGAAGAGTTGATCCCCTAAACCGTCTAGCTCTGGAAGGCTGGTGGGAATGTCGATTCGGAGTGGTACGTTTGCCTCCATACTTGACTGGCGTAGAGTGTTGCTCACAATGCAGCTCATGAGCCAGAGCGATGCATTGCCCCACTGCTGGCCCCATTCCTGAATCGGAAATACAGTCGGGGCGCTGAAGAAGGAACCCTTTTCGTTTGGGAGGGGCTCCGTGTTCCTTAGTTGTTTTACAGTGCTCCGTGGGTTTTATTGAGGTTTTCCATTCAAACTCGGAGTTTAACATATGGGAAAAAGGGGCCTCGTTCCTTATTCAGGGTTCCTTGGGTCAACGTCCCGGCTGTATTCATCACGCCCTCGCGCGGGTCCCACCTCTGTCGATGATCATCAGGACGCGCGTTAGCCCAGCGAGCGTTGTGACCCCGCTCCACTCCGCCGACGTCTCCAAGCCTGGGCCCGCCGTCATCGCACCGCCTGCGGAGCAGCAATCGAAGACATCCGGTGGGCCAGCACACGCTGGCGCTGTTTGGGTGGCGACACCGGCAGCGAGCACTGTTCAGGGTCTCTGTCCCTCTTCGTTCCGTCCCCGCCTCGGTCTGTCAGGAGGGGACCGAATGCGTGGCGTTGAAAAGTGTAATTCGGCTCGTGGCTCTCACGCTGCAGGTCGCAGCGTCGGAGGCTGTGTGTGGCGTCGTCCCGCGAGTAGCGCTGGCAATCCTGATGTCCCAGAGTGGCTAAACACAGCCCTCCTGACTGAGATACCGCCGGGAGGAAGACAGGGCCCTGGGGACCAGGACATTGCAGATCAAGACCCGTGGGGTAGGTTCGCGTCGTGTCAACCGACGGCGACCCCGCCGCAGGCGTTACACGTTGAACGCCGCTGGCGACCCAGAATCGGTCGATGTGGAACGGTCTGACGTTTCGGAAACGGCCGATCGCTCAAGGCTGAACGATCCCCGAGGGGCTCAGGAGCCAAAGCTGGGTCGACATGACGCGAACCCGCAGTACCTTTCGCAAGAGTAGCCGCAGCCCGCCCCGGCCGAGGCGTGTCCTTCAGCGGGGCCGTGGACCGGGACTCCGAGGCCGCCGCGAGCCTCTTCGGGTGGCCAGCGCCGAGGACGCCCGGCAGACCCGGGGCAGCAGGGCTCGAGGACGACGAGGAGGACGACGAAGAGGACGACGAGGACGACGAGGACGACGACGACGAGGCGAGGACGACGACGAGGACGGCGAGGACGACGCCCGGCGCCGGCCCCGCGCAGGAGGTGCCGAGGAGGAGCAGGATTTTTGGCCAAGGTTGGGAAGGAGAAAGAGAGCATGCGAGCCGCTGTCCTCCCCGCTTGGGCCATGGCATGCTATGCTTGGCGCCCCCGGCCGGGGGCAGCAGATTCTTCGCAGCCGACGTGACGATCGTCACGATTCTGGCCATGGACGTGTGTTGTCGTTTTTTTGCGCAAGGTCCGGCGGGTCTGAAGCGCGTCATGAAACGTGTTCTCTCTCTCTCTTTCTCTCTTTATCTCTTTCTCTCTTTCTCTCTCTCCCTCTCTCTCTCTCCCTCTCTCTCTCTCTCTTTTTCTCTCTCTCTCTCTCTCTCTCTCTCTATATATATATATATATATATATATGTCTCCCTGCTCCTTCGCTGCCACTCTGTACCCATCCCCAAACCCCGCCATGAAGCAAACGGGGCATGTGGTCACTGTTTTCGGGCTCCCAGGGCCCTCCACGAGCTCTGGGAGCGTCAACAGACAACTCATGCTGAAAAGCTGGTTCTTGGGTTCAGGGCACGCTTTCCCCAGGGATCTCTGTTCTTTCATGCCAAACAAACGATGGGCAGCAATCGCTGAGGAGAAGGTGCCCGACAGGTCGGAGCACCGACCTGTGGATACATTTGGGGACCTGTATCGCCTCAGGTTTGAAGTTCTTCATCCCCTGGAAGAGCTGCAAGATGAACATCTTCGAAGCCACGCTGGTGCCCATCACGATCCTAGAGGCGCGCCGACTGCATCGCCCCGTTTGCAGCGACGAGGTCTCGAAAGTGGGGATGACAGGGACCGCGTGCCGCATGCCCGCTGCCCTGGCTTTCCCCACGCATCAAGCAGTGGCGAAGCGTCCCAGCTAGCCCATAGGCCTACCAACGAATGTTCTAAGGATCTTTTATGGTTTGCACGACTTGTGCTTAGAACAATTCTGGCTGGGACTGCCTCGTTTTCGGGTTCATGTTATAAGAATATGGTGTTGGGTATTAGAACATGTTAGGGTTCTGAGAACATGTCGTAATAGGCCTGTAGGAATGCCGGGACTGTTGGTCCCTGCCCAAATTTCGCTGGCTGGAGGAGAGCCGCTCTTCCCCCTTGCAGAGCAGAAGCAGAAGCGATTGGTCGGGCAGCCTCGCGGTTGTGCAGGTGGCGCCTGTCTCATGATATTTGGCAGTCGTTCGCACAAGCCTTCTGTCAGATTTGCGGCTCAGACGATCCCAGCCACTCGGTTTGTATCCGATTCATAGTTGAAGCTCTTGGGAGGTATAATAGATCGCCCACGACGACCTCCCAGAGACTGCCCTCGGGAATGTGTTCTGAACAACTCCTACCCAACCGGAAGACCTCCTGCCCTCGCCAGGAAGACCTCTATTACCAACCAACCGAGACGCTCTTCCTCGGGATTTGTTCTGAACGTCGGCCCCTGGAACCCTCGACCCCCCCCCGACCGATCAAAGACTCGCGGCGGGCTGCTTATTGCTGGCGTATCCTATGGCTTACCCCGCGGACGGCGCAAGCAAAGGCTCAAACCGTGGATGGTGCAACCGATGGCGCAACTTGGATCACGCAACCGCTTGCGACCCGCGCATGGCGCGACCCATGACGCAATTGTGCTGGCGCAACCCATGGATCGCGCAACCTATCGCTCGCACCACATGGGCGGCACGCACCCCTTGCAGTTTCCATGTGCAGGGTGACGCTCGAGGTATGCTGGCGGTGTTGGCTGGCGGTGGGTCGTTCTGCCATTGCAAAAGCCCTACAGCCGGTTCCGCCGACCTCGAAAAGTGAACCGTTCGGGCGCAAGTGGCAAAAGGTCGAAGGGTGCAGGGATCAGTGGCGGCCTTGATGAGAGGGCGAAAGTCTAGTGGGTCTCGGCCCATCCCGCCACTGCGCCAGGGTCGTGTTCAGAGACATTTGGGGCATCGTTGGGGGATCGGGGGGGTCTCCTTGGGGAGCTCCGTGTCCAGAGACGTTAGGGACACTTTTGGGGACTTCGGGGAGGCCTTCTTGGGGAGCTCCTGGGGGCCCCTGTGGCCCACCTGGGTGCTTCCGGGGCCTGCCGTGGGCCTCTGGGGGTTCTTGGGACTGTGTGGGAGGAGTGGGCTTCCGGCGGTGCGGCAGCGGCGTGCGTCTTGGGTCCCACCTGGTGTGAGCGAGGAGGATGAGAGTGCAGGAGGCTTGGCATCGCTCGGACGTGTGCATTTTCCCTTCGGCGAGGACCCTTGAGGAGCATCTTTGATCATTTGGCGAAAAAACCACGCACGAAACCGAAAAAAAACACAGGGAATGGACGTCCGAGCGATTGCCAGGGATGAGAGTGCAGGAGGGGAGCGAAGAACAAATCCACACGAGCTGAAGCCTTCGCAGGGTCGCGCAGACCTGCTACAACTCGGCGGCGAGCGAGGGGGGAAGTACAGTCGGGGCGCTGAAGAAGGAACCCTTCTCGTTGGGGAGGGGCTCGGTGTTCCTTGATTATTTTACAGTTTGGCTTTGGTTTTCCTGAGGTTTTCGATGGGAAATCCTAGCTTAACTTTTGGGATCAAGGGGCCTCGTTCCTTATCTAAGGTTCCATGGGTCAGCGCCCCGACTGTAAGAAGGAGAAGGTTTTCTCAGAGGGTTCGGAAGTCCCGCGGCCTTCCGAGAAGGTTTCAATGCTGTCCCCGAAGACAAGCAAGCAACCTCTCAGAAGGCGCGGGAGCTTCTGAGAAGTCCCGCCGCCTTCTGAGCAGGCCTTCTCTTTCTCATTCCCCCCCCCTCGCTCGCCGCCGAGAAACGTGTCTCGCTTGTGCAGCGTGGTTTTCTGAGGAGCTGGAGGGAGGGGAGGACAGGCAGTTCAGGTGGGAGCCAGGGGCACGGAGGGTGGCCGCGTCGACGGGCAGAGGCGGAGGGCCGAAGCGACGGGGGGCGACAGTTTACGGCGTTGGCGTCGAGACCTCATGATGCTGAGGATGAGGACGATGCTGATGTCGATGTCTTGGAAGGCAGCCCTGAAGAGGCGCTCTTCGGCCCCACCCCTCCCGGAGCCGAGCCCTCCGGCGTCTCCAGAAGATCAGGACGTCCCCTGTGTGCCAACATCTCGGCATCCGGGGGGGCCCGTCTCCGGGCTCTGGGCCAGCGGATGGGGGGCGCCGATGGCCCTGGAGGCCCGAGGGCTCCTCGTGCTCTTCGGGCTCTGTGGCGGGAGGCGCCGACGGCCCTGTAGGCCCGCACCTTGGGCAGTCGTCTGTGCCTCTGGAGATGTGGGTTCCAGCAGTCGTGCGCGCATGGTCTGCGAAGTTCTGGCAGTTTTTTTCCCTCTGCCTAGGAAGCTCTATCTCGGATCTGCTCAGCGTGGACCACCTCCAAAAGGGCGGCAAGCCTGTCGTTCATCCGTCCTCCCCCTCTCTCTCTCTCTCTCTCTTTTTCTGTCCCTTTCTCTTTCTATGTATAGGTATAACATGGGCGCTCGGTTCTATGCATACACGCATGTGTACACACATATGTGTATGTGTATATATATATATATATATATATATACGTATAGAGTGTTCACACT